TCAGAGCTTTGTGCTAAACTCATGGAATGTAAACAAGGCAGAAGTTCATCAAAGGACGTATGGTTTATATGCCATATAGCTCATTACTTAAAAATAGTGTGTGCAACAGTTTAAGGACACACACACACAAACACTATCACCATTCACAGCTGGATCAGAAGTATATAAAAAGCTTAGCTTGTTCCATTGCTTGAGAGTATACAAGAATGAGATAAAAGTATCTGTATAGCAACATTATTGTCTGAAAGCTGTCATGGCAGAGAAACCATTTCCAAGCCCTCTTGGGCAAAATGTATGTCTTTTTCCTTTTGTTTTTTCTTTCCATGTTTTATTGGATATTTTCTTTATTTACATTTCAAATGTTGTCCCCTTTCTCAGTTCCCCTACCCCCAGAGACCCTCTATCCCATCTCGCCTGCCCCTGCTTCTATGAGGGTACTCTCCCACCCACCCACCCACCCACCCACCCACTCCTGCTTCCACACCCTCACATTCCCCTACACTGGGACATGGAGCCTTCACAGGACCAAGGGCCTCTCCTCCCACTGATGCCCGACAAGGCCATCCTCTGCTACATATGCGGCTGGAGCCATGTATTTCTTAGTTGGCTGTACGATTAGTTTAGTCATGCTTCTTTAAATATTCTAATTAAAATATAATTACATAACTTACCCCTTCACTGTCCTCCCTCCAACCCTTCTCATGTACTCACTCCTGCTCCCACTCAAATTCATGTCCCTGTTCTCTTTAATGGATGCATTATCATGACTGAACAACACAGTGTTGGATAACTGGTGAGGGGGCACGTTCCTAGAGAAGATTCTCTCTCTCTCTCTCTCTCTCTATATATATATATATATATATATATATCTGTCTCTCTCTCTCTCTGCCTCTCTCTCTCTCTCTCTCTCTATCTATCTATCTCTCTGTCTCTCTCTCTCTGCCTCTCTCTCTCTCTGTCTCTCTTTCTCCATTAACAACACTCATGGTACCTCAGAAATACAGTGCCTAAACTATACCTGAATAAGGACAACACCAATAGATATGCTAACATAGAAATGGGAAGTCTCACAGGAACTCACTTCTAAACAAAGAGCTACAGGCAGCCAAGGAATGCTTCTTTAAATCTTAATGATGAGCACAGAGGGAGATACAGGAAGAGAGGCTTCAGCTTCAGCACACTCCTCATGTGCCTGAAGCAATTCCTTGTGTATGATCTCATGCGCTCTGTGACCTTTGCTACATTTTAGGTTACAGCTCTGAGAGCATAGGCCCAAAGGCATGAAATTCCACTGAGGCAAGACACCAGGTGGTAGGGGTCGTGGAGCATTCTGAATTCCTTCAAGTCTTTACAGTTTCCTGGAAACATCTCTCTAGAGGTTTAAGCACAAGAGAAAAGTCTAGGTGTGGTGAAATGGTATCATCTTTAATTCTAGGACTTGGGAAGAAAAGACAAGAAGATCTCTGTGAGTTTGAGCCAGTCTTGTCTACCTAGTGAGATCCAAGCCAGGATTATACAGTGTAATACTGTCTCAAAGAAAAAACAAAACAAACAAAACCCTAACAACAAACAACAACAACAAAACATGAACTTATATCAACAGATAAAAAGGTAAATAAAATGTGTTCTACAGAAAAAAGGGATTCTAGGCAGTTCTGTAATATAGATGAACCTTGAAGACAATATTCAGTAAAATAAATTAAACATAAAAAAAATCAGTGAATGCTTCCACTTACATGAGGTATGTGTAACAGAGATTAATATCCACCAATGTCTCATGTATTGAGGGGCTAGTTGCAGGACTTTGCCCACTCTTAAGAGATTGTAGGACCAAAGAGAGGTTTTAGAAACAGGGAATTTAGTGACATAGTCTCCTTCTCTACTTCCACAGGTTGAGCATCTTTTCACTCTGGTATCTGTCCTACCAGACATCAGAAAGCAGTGGAGGTAGCTGATCTTGGATGGATAAAATCTCTGAAATCATGAGCCAAAATAACCTACCCCCTTGTACAACAGTTACCTTTGTTAAGAAATTAGGAATCAGACACAAAGTACAATATCAAAATTCAAGAGACAGAAAATACAGGGTTGACTTCAAGGAGGAACAGGACGTAGTCAGTAGAGTTTACAGGAAGTGGTCAGTAGAGTTCTTTAGAGAAGCAGAACCAATAGAATGTATAGATATAGAGACAGAACATTTTTAAGTGAGGTTGTACCATGTGACTATAAGGGCTGTCTTGTCTAAATCTGGAGTGCTACCCAGCAGCCTGAGGATCCTAAAGGGTAAAGGAAAGGTGCAATTCCAGTCTAAAGGCCAGTATGATTAGAAAGCAGGTGCTGAAGTTGAAATCCTAAGGCTATCTGCTAGAAAATTCCTCATTTCATAGAGGCAGATAGTTTCCTCTGTTCTTTTGACCTTCAGATTTTGAATCTTACCCAAAATATAGTCATCTTTTTTAATTACTTTGTTTATCTGTTATGTGACCTTTCAGGATAAGATATAAATAAAACCTATTCACCTTAGATAGGGCACCAAGAACAGATAAAAAATCAATTCCACCCAAGTCTAGGTTGGTAAACCAATGGTTTATTGGGGTCACTTGCAGGAACATTTGTGAGGGGCTACTTACAGAAACACAAGTAACTTTAAGGCAGCCATATCACTGAAAACCCCAACCCAGTATAGGTGAGAAGAGTCATGAAAACTAACCTTGAAGCTCCCTGCTCAACTTGAAGATAGCCTTCACTGAAGAGTATCCCTGTGAAGTTTCAGCTGTCACTTGTATTTATGACACAGTAAAAGAGGTCTTATGAATCTTATGACTGATCTTCCAGCACATGTAGTTACTGGCGTCTTATGAGGCTCCCTACTTCATCCATAAAGACATGCTTCAGTTCAGAGGAAATAGCTGCATAGCATAACCTCCATCCCCAAATACTCTGTCTAGGCACCAAGTGATCCAGACAAGGCAAGGAGTAGAATCAACTATCACAGGAACTGTTAGTGAGAACCTTTTCAATGAGAAACTATGGTAACAATGCGGAAATGAATGGTGGCAACAGCTGTACAACAATGTGACTGTAATTCATGCTGTATCAAGCAGTACATCTAAAAGGGTTAAAGCAGCAGTCATTGTATTGTTTACATGTTGTGATATTAACGCTGTCTGAGATAACTGAGTCACTGTGAGACTAATAAAGTGTCTTTCTCATTGTCATGTCATTTCGGTGTTCATGAAGTTATCATTATAAGAAAATTAAAAGGCCACTTTGGAAATTGAGGAATATATCCAATCAGTACCTCATTTTCTGGCACTCACTCCCCAGCTAAGAAACACTAGTAGGTAATAGGTAAGACGGGGCATTGGATTTTAAAATGCCAATCTATGATAACCTTGTGTTGGCTTCCATGTTGTTTTGTGGCCTGTGAGAAGAAAGCTTTAAGTGGCAAATAAGATGTTTTTAGCTTGTGCTATGTATCCTATGTAAGAAGAAAGAAAATACCAGGCTTGCCATGGAGGGGGGATATGGAGTCTTACGTACACTGTCAATATTGGTGGGTTTTCCTATGTAACTTCCTAGACGCCTTACCAGTTCTTCTTTTATCTATCCCCTTTCCCTCACCACTTTTTCCTCTCAGTGGTTTAAAATAAAATTCAGCTATCATAGAGTCTTGAATACTCAAAACTCAAAAAAAAAAACATGTTTAGTAGATGGGGGGTTACTTTTACAAAGATACATACAACAGTTGGACCTGAGTTAGGAACCCCAGAGTCAGTTAAACACCTGTCTGTAATCTCAGCACTCCTACTGTGAGATGGAGGGCAGAGATAGGAGGGAATCTGGAATCTTTCAAATCAGCTAGCCTGGAGCATGTATCACCTAATTAGAGACTTTTGCTTAATCAGTCAGATCAGTCAGAGACCAGGGCCTATCAATACCTGGGTTGCCCTTTGACCTCCATTTGCAACTGTGTTTTGCACACATACAAGCAAGTACACACACACACACACACACACACACACACATTAAAAAGTATAAGCAATTTCAAAGAGACATATCTCTTCATGGTGTATAGTTCTAAAAGGCCCAGGCACTGGTCAGAGTAAAGCCTACTCTTTTCTGGTCAACTTAACTATCCTGGATATTACAATTAATAGTAGTTTTAACTATCATCTCTGACTTTTATGTTCCAACTACAAAACTTGTCATTTTTCACAACATCTAAGTTTCTATTGAAACATTACCTGAGCCAAACACTTGGTTAAAGGCTAATGCCACTACACCTGGCTATTGAATCATTATCAAACATACATTCTCTTCAAACCCTAGACAAATACATAAATTCAATATAAGTATTTCCCGAGATGACGGATCCAGAGAAAGACCCAAGACTTACCCTAGCAATTTCTACTGGGCTCATGCTGCTGTTTAAAATGTCTATATGCAAAACTTCCCCTAATAACTACAGCACTCGGGGTTAGGAATGGGAATCCTACATGATTTATGTTACGTTTCTGATTGCCCATTAAAACAGTTAACAGTCAAACATACTGCTTATAAAAAGACACCATATAGCGACGATCTGCCTTGGTGAATCAGCAAACAGAGAAATGTGAATACTGAAGTCAAAACATCTGGTCCAATCACATTCCTCTCGACAAACCTAACTTGAAGAATGTGCTTCTTTGAGTTTCAAGCCCTTATCTGATACATCTACTGTATCTTTCCTATAATTGTCCTGGACGGTGCTCTTTCTCCTGCTGTTTCTTAGTGAAAGGTCATGAAGCATGACTGGAATTACCATTCTCCCCACCCACAAGAGACACAACCTAAGAATTCGTGTTAGCCAACTTTCCAATATGAAGCAAAGCTTCCCTTCCTCCTGCGACAGTTGAGTCATCCTCTGCGAGATAAGAGTGGCTATTTAAACTGCATCAGAAGCTCGAACACTGGCAGTTGGCTGAGGTCCTCAACTGTTTTAGTTTTCCATTCCTGGTATGAATTTGGAAATGACTTTTGATGACAAGATGAAGCCTGTGAATGACCAGCCTGATCAGAAGTCATATGGCAAGAAGCCTAAAGGTAACAGGGGTGGGTAGATGCTTACAGAAACAGAATGCCAGGCTTAGCTCAGAAATATAAATTAAATGTACTGAAGAATAACATTAGAAGGTAAAGACATTTAAATATCAGAAAATACAAGAGACTAGTACTATTTATTTAGAAGGAATGCAAGTAGGATTCAAGATAATAACTAGCTGATATTACATCTTTAGTATAAGCTGTTCTCCATGCTATGGCTTTAAACTAATACCTTCTCCAGATTGTAGTACTGATATTATCTGCCTTCTATATAAAGTTAACTCAGAATCAGGAGGAGTAATAAAGTCACTCAGCTTCCTTGAATTGTACAGAGTAGAGCCAAAATCATACCAGATTCCCATGTATGAAGAACCCAGTCTGTAAAAATGGCAGAAAATGCATCCATTCAGAGCACACAGTAATTTATGTATGTTGCTGAAGTACTGCAAAAATCTGAAATGCTTTGTGAATTATCTAAAGCAAATTTGGTATATTCAGTATGGCTGAGTATATGTTAGACTTTCTTGTCCATTGTTGCTTTGAAAAAAAATTGTAATTTCTATTTGACTATTACAGTAAATTGAATGACTTAGGTTTAATTGATGACTCATTTCTGTAGACAACTGCAGATAAAATGTCTTTTATTTTATAAAATTAAGAGAAAAAGGCCAGGTGGCGGTGGTGCACACCTTTAATCGTAACGCTTGGGAGGCAGAGGCAGGTCAGCCTGCTCTATAGAGTGAGCTTCAGGACAACCATGGATACACAGAGAAACCCTGACTCAGAAAAAAAAAAGGAACAAGTTGTAAGAAGAGGAAGAAAGACAGACTGTGTCTGTAAATAAGCCTGAAATCTTTCGATGGGTACGATAAGGGTGAGTGTGGTGTGATTTAATATCTGGATGGCTGAACTAGCTCAGAGTCAAGACAGTGCTGGGGCTTAGTAGTAGACTCAGCAGCTATTGAATTAGTTTGGTGTGAAGAGGTGCTGGTGTTTAGTAGTAGACTTAGGATATAATGCCAGTTGTTAATTTACTTAACCATTATTTGTGCAATAAATATTGCTTTTACTTGACTTTTACCATAAATATAATTAATTCTTCTTTAAGAGTCCTTTTTAGATTAGTCACTTACTTATACACTGAAGTTAGTGTATGCATCTTTATTGATTGACTAAAGGTTGTTTTCTGACCAGAAAGCCAATAGTCTCTTCCTACCACTGAGATGGGATGAAGGTGCCTTTTAGGTAATATGAGTTTGTGTCTTCCTTTCACATGGTGGCTCATGCAATTGGTGTTTTCATTCAAGAGTTGTGGACATATACAGTGTGTGATAAATACTGGGGTAGGAAGAAAGGATTTTTACACAGAGATACCTGATGCCAGGTACCAGGATAAGACAACTGCTTGTAAGAGATATTACTGTCTTCTAGTATCTCCCAGCTCACCACACATGCAGAGAGAGAAATCCTTTAGCCAGAGAATGAGCTGTGTTTCTCCCTGTCAGAATTTCTATCTTTTTTGTATCGTCTGTGGATTCTAACACAAACTAACAGAAGAGAACTCTGAACATATTTGACCATTTATTAACTTTGACCCTTACCCCATTTACACTCAAAGCTCAATAATATAATACTCCAACCATTTTGGCTTATGAGCATTTGGATTAAAGAACTATGTTTAGAGCCGAAGCTGGTACTATGGCCTGATATCCCAACAATGGGAAGGCTGAGGCAAGAGGACCCCAAGTCTAAGGCCAGCCTTGGCTACCTAGTGAGTTCCAGGGAAACCTAGATTACAAAGTAAACATTATCTTGAGGAATAATGTAAAACCCCAAAGACTTACTTTTTAAATTTTTATTATACATATGTTATCTAGTTAGTAAAACTGATGCTTTCAATTTCTCCTTTATGTAGAAAGAATACCACGAGTGTTCTACTTAGCTTACAAGGAGAGGAAAGTAAATAATTGCATGTGATATTTTCCTCTTGGATCTGTAATGGCTGTGGTTATTCAATGCTGGAACATGTAACCGGACAATCACATGTCTGAGAGCTGCATGACTTGTTTTTGTAAATAAGGCAGCTTTTCCTCTGGGGATAATAGGCCACACCTAATGTAAGTGTGAGGCAGTTATTACTAGAAGCCAAGTGCTTATCAAGGTTTTATTCTTAATTTCCTTTGGTCAACAACTCCAGTTCTAGGAGACAATGAGAATTGAATGGTGTACTATTAGGCATAGAATTTCTTGAGGAAATCTCAGGTTACTGACAAAAATATTTTGCTTAATGTCTGACAATTGTTTATATAATATTACTTATGAGTACCTATGTAAAGATAAATTATTTGGGGGGGTTGTTATCACTCTTTTGCTTCTTAATATCTACTGGAGGAGTCTACCTCACTTATGCCTATTTCCACATAAAAAATGACACAGAAACACCATAATCTATTAATAAAATGTAGGTGCTGTGATTCTGAGCTATACTAATCCTTCTGTGTTTTTAAAACGAGTATGAATATCCCATGACTCACCAAATTAATGTCTCTTGGGCAATTAATGCTATACTTGCCTAGACTCAGAGGACACTTCTCTTGGCCATGTGCTCCTGGTCCATCCCACCTAATCGCTACCTCCTTCTCCTCCCTTCCCTTCTTCCTTCTTCTCATGGTCCCAACCTGAGACCACCCCTACTTGATCTCTAGTCCAACCTTTCTCTCTCTCTCTCTCTCCTGCCAAATCACAGGCCACAGGCTTTTATTGCCAAATCAGAGATTATTGGGGAGCATTCTTTGTCGCACATTGGTCAATACAATGCCCTTGTCCAAACTGCAACCTGGTATTGGGGCACAGAACTCAGCATCTGAATACAGGGTGCACAAGACTAACCCCAACCCCTGTATGTATACATATACATACAGTATATGTATGTGTAAATGCTGGGAGCCTCTCGGCCCAGAGAGGGTAGTGGCAGGGACACAGAGTAGGACTCTGTTGATGGCTTTAAAGTTTGAGGGTCTCAGTACATTCTAGTTCTCTAACTGTACTGAAACACTGATGATAACTTCTAAAAATTCCTAAAAACCTTCTTTCTTTTTCCAAGGGTAGAAAGCTTCTGGCTTAGGCGGTTAACATCTGTAGCCTAACAGCAGAGGAGTATGCAATGTGGCCTTTGCTCTATCTCAGAAGGAACTGGCTGACTCTAACTTTCAGCCTGCTAGTTGGACGTCCCAAGAAGAAAAAGGGACACATGGAAAAGTGATTATAGCATTCATTATTTAGTTGTAAAAAGTTTCCTATGAAAGCTATCTAAGGGGAAAAGCAGAAAGATCCTAAGAGGGGAGCGGGAAAACAATTCTTCTAAGGGAAAAAAATTCTCCTCCGTCTCTTTTATCTGCTTCTCATCTCTTTGTCCTCAGTACTTATACATCTTTCAGAATACATGATCACATGTTACAGACTTCGTCACAAGTTCAAACAAAAAAATAAATCATAAATTGAAATAGAAGTTTACACCAGAGAATGTCTACATGCATATCCATGAGGAGTAATTATCTGACTAAACATCCATCATTTGTCTCAGCTCCACAGGTTCACCGAAGGTTTGAAATCACAATTATGTTATTAGTGACGTTTTGTATAGATAAATCCAGTCAATATTTTATCTTCTGTCCTAGTACCTATAAAACATCGTTAGTTCCCTTTTTATCACCTTTGGTTAATTGTTTTACAACCTCAGGAATGTGCTCTGAATAGAAGAAAGTCTGGTTACTATCTAAGACAATTAACTGGTGAAACTTGGGAGACTGGCAGAATTCTAGCAGACTGCAGTTTGACTATCAGAAAAGGATCTAAGACCAGTCCCACTATAAAAGAGCTTAATAATCACTGAGATAATTTTTAGGAATTCTTACAGGATCATCATTAAGACTTAAGAAGTCATCTATTTGTCTATATTGAATCACTACTAGACAGTACATCTTCATAGATCTTCAGAGATCTGCTCCACAGAGGTGGGCTAATACCTAATTATTGTTATGTATGTTTAATAATAACAAGAAAAGCATATTAATATCAGGAATCTTTCCTAAAATGAATTCTCTTAAGATCTTTCCTATTATGAGAGAACCTATCGCAGATTATATAATAATCTGAAGCAGGCCATCTCAGGAAGATCACCTGTTAGTTATTACTTTGTCCCATTATGGCTCCTGACATGTAAACATCACTCTTTCTGTATAGTAGATGAAGTTGCTAGGCTGTGTTGAGAGGTCTTAGAAGGACATTGTGCATAGAATAGATGAAGTACAAGAGTCTATTCTCAGTAGAATGTTTTTGTTTTGCTTCACAATTTCATGAAGGAGTCTAGTTATTCTTAGAATAGATGAAGTACAAGCTTCAGGATGAAGTATTTAGTGTCTACACCTCATGAATCCCAGCTGTTATTTTTTCCCATGTGAGACCATAAGTAATTTAGTTCAGTTCTATATAATCATCCATTGTTTAATCAGCACAGGAGCAGAGCCAGTGGGATTTGGGGGTGAGGTGCTAAGGAATGCAGATCACAAAGCAAGCATGGACACAGACAGGATCTTAAGTCTAGCTTGATGTCCTACCTGTGCCCTTTCCAATTTCTGATTCTCCTTCTCACAGGTCTGCATTTGCTTTCCTCCCCATGGTGGGGCCCTGCTGCGATGACTCTGGTCATCCTTTGCCTAGTGTTATCAGTGACCCTTATTGTACAGTGGACACAATGTAAGTGTTGAAATAGGGAACTGGAGGTGGGCAATGAGGGTTATGAACACAGCATGTAACTCAGATCAGCCTAGCTTTACATTCATTTTAGGCTAAATCTTTGAGTATTAATGACTATACTGTGCTTACTCCTCCATTAGAGAGGGGAATGGGATGGAGACTATTCAAAGTAGAATGTTTTTGTTTTGCTTCATTATTTCAAGGAGGAGACTAGTTATATCTTAGAATAATTTGGTAGTAACTTGAAGTTTCTAATACATAGGGCCATCTGAGCAACCCAAGAGGAAAAGAAATCCCATTTACTTTTGTTTTGATAGATCTGATTAACTTTTAAGAATCATAATGACCACCCTTAAAATAAGTAAAACATTGAAAGCAAAATATATTTTGAGTTTATAACATGTGGGAAAGTAGAGATGCTGAGAAGGAAGAAGAATAAGTGAATAAGGACAAGACTTGCTAAGAAGGAATGACAATGTTTTATCTGTGTCAGCAGGCATGAACAGGTTGCAGGTCTGAGTTGTTCCACCAGCCAGGTCCTAGATATAAGGACTCAAAAGTGGCATTTGCTTCACATATGTCTAACTTACCTAATTCCTTGTAATTGGGGAGGGGTATGTGGGAACTTGAGGCCTCTCCTAATGATGGTTCAGGACAGGGGATCCCGATGATAGCAGTCAGAAGAATCTCTCTTTGAGGTATCCATCACCATCCAGCAGGATCAGATTTGACCAAGAAACAAAGAGTCATCAGCCCCTCACTTGCACTGGAAGGGAGCAGAGATCTTGTAAAAGAGTTCCTCAAATCTATTTGATTACCCAGCATTCATTTCGTCACCACCCTTCTAAACTGTTGTGTGGTTAAAAAACAAGAAGAAGAAAAAATTACTCTTACCGTCAACATACAGAAATTTACAAATATGTCATGGGTGGTTGCCTCAAAAATGAAGGCAAATGCCAAAGGTCCTAAATAAAATTAGGAAGTCTGGCAGTGTAGACAGTGGGAGGAGCTATAGTGAAATTAAGCTGAATAAATCACTAATGGGAATTTCTTCAATGAGTCAGAGTCTAGGGAAAAGGTGATTACTATAGATTGCCAATATTTTATTTATTCTATTATAGTATTTCTTACCTTATCATTACTTTAATTTTTTTTATTTTACAATTTTATGTTTTGGGGAATTTGAAACACATACATAATGCATTTTGATCAAACACATCCCTATTTCCTCCCCACCCACCCCCTTTTCCTCTGAATTTCATGTGCTATGGTTTTTCTCTTTAAGCCCATTGACTCCACTTAATCCTGCATGTATGTATATAGTATAGGGCCCTCTGCTGGAGCATAGGTAACCTCACAGGGGTCACATCCATAAAAAAACCTGATTCTCCCTTTCCAGGATTCATCAGTTGCCAATAGCTTCTCAACTAGAGGTGAGATTTCATGAACGAATGTTCATACATTGTCTTTACCTTATTATTTTCAAGCTAGATATAGCTTGTGCATATATATATAATTCTACATGCTGACCAAGTTCTCTGCCACTGAGAGACATCACAACCCTTCATCCCTCTACCACAGCTACATCTCCACCCCTCTCCTCTATGCCACTAAGCTACATCTTCATCCCTCACCACTCTGCAGATAGACTATATTACCAACTCTCCAGAAAACACAGAACCATGGCAATTTGTTATTCAGAAATATCTACATGATCACTAATAAAAATTACAATAAAATTGCAATTTTGATAAATACAGTGCAATAACATCTAAGCCCGTGAATTATAAATAAACATAGGCCATTTCCCAGAAGTCATTGAAGTGGATTTAGTCCTCTATCATTGGTCAAGTTCATAAAACATTTCTGTCAACACTCATCTGTTGTCAAGATAGATTATTTGAGTTGGTGTCTTAATTTCATGGGCATCCAGGGGTAGCATATATATTGGACAGGCTATGCTGACTCTTAATTCTCTATGGTTTAGTACTCCAGGCATCTGACCTCCTAAAGCAATACCAAGCAAACCTTACTCAGCAGGATCATATCCTTGAAGGACAGATGTTAGCCCAGCAGAAGGCAGAAAATGCTTCACAGGAATCAAAGAGGGAACTGAAGGAAAAGATAGACATCCTCACCTGGAAGCTGAATGAGAAATCCAAAGAGCAGGAGGAGCTACTGCAGAAGAATCAGAATCTCCAAGAAGCCCTGCAGAGAGCTGTGAACTCTTCAGGTACAGGGGAGGACTGGTGGCTGTTAGGCCCAGTCATAATGAAGTTTAACAAAACCATCACAGCACTCATATGACAAGCATTTAGAGTGTCCTACATATTATCTCTGTTAGGACCATTTCCACTCTAGCCCATGGCAACCATAGTAATCATCACAATTGTTAGAGCTCTCCTTCTCATGACCATAAAGTTTTTTTCTTTCTTTCAAATTCTAGCTTTGAGGTTTGGGCTGAAGCACCTTCCTGTCCCATTGCCACCTCTTGCCACAGATATTGTGTCCTTCCAAATACATCTTAGTCACTGGCCTCCCTTTCCTTGGGGGTCTTCCTGTCATTTCAGCTCTTTAGCTCAGCTCCTGTGTTATCTTCATTGTGACCCTGTCTCCTAAAAGGGCACTACATCTGTCTAAGTACAAGCAGTAGAGGTTAGTTGACTGAAGACTTAGGTAGATTCTTCAGGGTGAACAAAAGTAAAAGGTCTGAAAAGTGGGTTTATGTAGAAGCTGAGAAAGTTTCATCTGTCTAAAGGGATTTGGAATCTAAGGAGCAGACATAAGACAGATTGTGCTGACAACCTTTGTGCTATTAGAGACTGTCACTACATTTCTGCAATATTGATCTCTTCTGCAATGCAATCAATGAGGTCTCTGCTTCTAAGTACAGAGTTAGATGTGACAGTTTCTTTTACTACCATGTCCCTTCCTAGGAACTGCTCAAATGAGGGCTCTATTCTTAGGATTAGCAATTAAGTGCCAGTCAATAGCAAATTTCTCCAATGTCTTGCTTATGTGGTTAACGGGTTAAAATGTGCAGCTTCCTTGAGTATATATATAATAATGATATAGGTGGCCATCCCTTCATGGTATAAACAAAAATACTGAAAGCATGATAGGTATCAATAATGATGATGATTGGTTTGATGTAAAGATACTAAGTTTACAAGTCTTAATAGGCCCAGAATGGTGATGCATACCTTTAATCATAACCATTGAGACAGAAGCAGGCAGATCTCTGAGTTCAAGGCCATTGTGGTCTACATGGAGACATCTAGTCAGAGCTACATGGAGGAATAAATAAATAAATAGTTAAATCCTTTCTGTATGAGTAGGATAATCTCAATTTCCAAAAGTAAATAGAATTTTTTAGACAAATTGACCTTCGACTAGTATCAAACATATATTTAATTTCTCTAGGGAGGAACTTTTCAATAAATTAAAGAGACCCAACACTTCAAATCAATTTTCAAGGGAAGGAGGCTTAAACATCAAAGATGGAAGTGTTTATATGTACAAGCAGCCAAAATCCCAACTAGTGGTTTGTTTCACAGATGTAGTAAGTAGTAAAACAGCTTACATTTATCATCTATAGATTGTGTGGGATTCAATCTGCATCAGGACCATGGCCTCAGAGAGGCCAGAGATAAACTGTAGATCAGACATGAAACTCACATATCTCTTTCTGGCAGATATACCATTGTTTTCCATTCCTTCTGATGCTAGATATAGCCAATTACTAGAGACCACAGATGAAAGCTTTCATCATGTGGCTTCAAAAAAGCATCATAAAATATCATAATACTGAAATCCCATGTGGAAATATGAAACTAATTTTCTCAAATTTGAAGAAGGTTTTATCTGTCCTACTAACAAATCTGGTATGATTTACTTGGAAGCTAAGGTAATGAAGGACTTTCAAAAGAATAGATTTTAATAATTAGCAATAGAATTGGTACTCCTTCTCAATTGTTATCTCTGTAAATAGCTTGATGAAAATGATTGTAGGCCACCAGATCCTGACCCTCTAGCAAGTCTAGAGCACATAGACTACTTCCTCAATTAATTCATCCACAAAGACATTTGAGAGGAAGTGTGTTCAGTGACTGTATTAGGCTCTGAAGAGGGACAGAAGCAAGAAGATGATTATATATTTAAAGGGCATTTATTGGGTTGGTTTACATAATGTTTCTGGAGGGTCTGACAATGGTTATCTTGCACTGCGTGGGTGGAGACCTATTTGGCAGTTGATCAACTAGTGAGCTTGATTGTCTCAGCAACATCAATGTCTTCTGGCACAGAAGATCTGGAATATCTCTGAAGAGCTACTGATCTTCAGACTGTTTTGGAAGCCAGAAGAAGATGATTCTAATATCAATAAAGGAATGGAGCCATGGTATTGATAAACATGCCTGCAGAGTGAATGTTCATTAGCATAAACCAAAATTCCTTTTCCCTCATTTTCTCTGTGTTGACACAGGAAGGGGATGCCCACATTTAGTTCTTCCCAATACAGCCATCACAGGCATGCCCATCAGCCTGGCCTTTATTCCATTGCATATCCAAATAAATGGACAACGGAAGGTTTATCAAAAGACATCACATACACTCTCAACGTTAGGTTCAAATTCCTGACTTCTTGATCTGTCAAATGAAGAAGATTGGTGAGGTTTATCTCTGAGTTTCACAATAATTAAATGAGTTCACATATGCAAAGTACTTCCAATAGTTTGTGCAATTAGTAAATAATATTTGTATTCCTTAACTTTTATATGCACTAGTAGATATTTTATATGCTATATAATGTTTTACACATACACACACACACACACGCACACAAAGAAAGAAATATAGTTGATTTTAATACAGTACATACAGACATGCCTTTCTCACTTCGCCAAAATATAGACAAAGAGTCTAGACCATTTCTTGAGTCAAAAAACCTGATATATTTACACTTACATACTATGATACTAGGCTAATTAGAAGGAAAGTTCGCATTTAGCTTCTGTTTTCATTATTCCAGAACCTTCCTATTTTATTGTTTAGGTACATGTTTTTATTTTCTGTGGTTTTGTTTGATGTTTTTGTTGTTGTTATTGTTTATTTTAGATAGATTCTCATTCTGTAACTCAGGTTAGCCTGGGAATCATTATTTACACCCCATTGGCCTTGAACTCATGGAAATCCTCCTTCATTAGTCTCTTGAGTGCTGAAATTGCAGGCAAGAACTAACACATTAGGCTTATATTTCTCTTCCTGGTGAAGATTGTTTCTCTAAATTTATCAGGTATATTTGTGATACTATGAAAATTGAAATTTTTTTAATGTAACTCTTCTTAAGGACTTTTTCCCACTTTGCTCACACTGTAGAGGAGTCCCAGAGAGAACTGAAGGGAAAAATAGACACCCTCACCTGGAAGCTGAATGAGAAATCCAAAGAGCAGGAGGAGCTTCTGCAGAAGAATCTGAACCTCCAAGAAGCCCTGCAGAGAGCTGCAAACTCTTCAGGTACAGGGGAGGACTGGTGGGTGTTCTGCCCAGTCATAATCAAGTCATAAACAAAACCACCACAGCACACATATGACAAGCATTCAGAGTGCCCTACATGGTCTCTCTGTTAGAGCCATTTCCACCCTAGCCCATGGGATACCTGATAATCATTGGAATTTTTGTAGATCTCCTTCTCATGGCAGTTAAGTTTTCTGTCTTCTTTCTTTCAAATTCTAGCCTTGAGGTTTATGCTGAAGCACCTTCCTGTCCCATTGTCACCTCTGCCACATATATGTTATTTCTCTTTCCCAATGCATCTTAGTCACCGACTTCCTTTTCCTTGGGGTCTTCCTGTCATTTCATCTCTTTAGCCCAGCTCTTGTATTAGCTTTATTCTGACCCTGTTTCTTAAATGGACACTATATCTGTCTATGTACAAGCAGCAGAGGTCAGCTGACTGGTGACTTAGGTGAATACTTCAGACTAAACAAAATAAGAGATTTGGAAAGTAGGATTATATAGGAACTGAGACAGTTTCATCTGTATAAAGGGATCAAGAATCTAGGGAGCAGAAGAAGAATAGATTGTGCTGACAACCTTAGTGCCATCAGGGATGGTTACTACATTTTTGCAGTATTGATCTTTTCTGCAATGTAATCAATGCGGTCTCTGCTTCTAAGAACAGTTAGGTGTGACAGTTTCTTTTGCTATCATGTCCATTCCCAGGAAGTGCTCAAATGAGGGCTCCAGTCAGGATTAGCAATTAAGTGCCAGTCAATAGCAAATTTCTTCAACATCTTGCTTTTGTGGCTAACAGGTTAAAATGTGAAGTTTCCTTGAATGCATATATAATAATGATATAGGTAGCCTTTCCTTCATTGTATAGAAAAAATATTAATAGCAGGATAGAGTTTAACAGTAATGATGATGAATACTTAGATGTTAAGTTATTCAGTTTATTAATCTTTTCAGGCTCAGAATGAAAGGACATGTCTTTTATCCTAACTGGGGAGACAAAGGCAGGCAGATCTCTGAGTTCAAGGCCAACCTGGTCTACACAGCAAGTTTTAGGCATGGCTACAGGAGGAGATTGATTGAATAAATAAATAAATTTATTTTCTGTATATATGTGGTAATTCAAATTTGGAAAAATAAGCATTGAGTTTTAGACAAATTGACCCATTAGTATTGGACATATATTTATTTTCTCTAGGGAACTTTTCAGTAAGTTAAAGGGACCCAACACTTCACATCAATTTTTAAGAGGAGGCTTAAATATCAAAGATGGGAGTGTTTTCATACACAGGGAGCCAAAATCCCAACCAGTGGTTTGTTTCACAGATGTAGTAGTAAAACAGTTGACATTTATCACCTGCAAATTGTTTGGAATTCATCTATGTCAGGACCATGAGATGCTCTCTCTCAGAGATGCCAGAAATGAACAACAGATCACACAGGGAGTATACATGGCCCTTTCTGGCAGATATATAGGTCTGGTTTTCCATTCCTTTGAATGGTAGATATAACCAATTAGTAGCAATACCAGATGCATGCCTTGATGATGTGTCCTCAAGAAAAGACTCATAAAAATATCATAATATTGAAATCCCGTGTGGAAAAATGAAGCTGGTTTTCTCAAATTTGGGGAAGGTTTTACCTGTCCTGCTAACAGATCTGGTATGATTTATGTAGAAGCAACGGAGATGTAGGGTCTTCAAAGGAAGAGATTTTTCAGTCTAGCATCAGATTTTGTGGTCCTTCTTAATCCTTATCTAGGAAAATAGCTTGATGAAAATGGACAGTTCCCTGTAGGCTCTTAAATCCTGAAAAAGCATGTCTGGAACCCAAAGAGGAATATTTCCTCAATTAGTTCATCCACAAAGACACAAAGAGAGGAAGTATCCTACAGTGACTGTATTAAGTTCTAAAGAGGAACAGAAGCAATTGAATGACTATATATTTAAAGGGCATTTATTGGGTTGGTTTACATAATATGATTCGAGAATCCAACAATGATTGTCTCATAGTGGATGGGTGGAGAATTTGGTAGTTGTTCAACTAGTGAGCTTGGTTGTCTCACTTGTCATTGTCTGGCACTGAGGTTCTATAAGATTCTTGAAGAGCTACTGATCTTCAGTCTATTTTGGAAGCCAGAAGAGGTTGGTTCTAATATCAGGGTAGGAATGCCACCATGAGATTGTTAAACTTGCCTGCAGAGTGAATGTTCATTAGCACAGAGTAAAAACCTCTTCCCTCTCCTTGTCTCTGTGTTAACACAGAAAGGGGATACCTGTGTTTAGTTCTCTTCACTTCAGATAATTTGAATAAGAAAATCTTCCACAGGCATGCCCAGCAGCCTGACACTTAGTCCAGTCCAGATCCCAATAAATTGACAGCCAAGGTTTATCAACAGACATTAAATGTACAAGCAAGATTAGATGCAAATTCTGGACTTCCTGTCAAATGAAGATAATTAGTGGATGCTGGCCTTGAGTTTCACAATGATTAAATGCGTTCATATATGCAAAGTAATCTGACCAGCTTGTGCACTTGGTAAATAACACTTATATTCATTAATTTGTATGTAATAGTAGATACTGTTTTATGCTATATAATGTTTTACATACATACAACATACACACACACGATAATGGAGTCAATTTTAAAACCACATATACAGGCATGCCTCTCTCTCTCTCTCTCTCTCTCTCTCTCTCTCTCTCTCTCTCTCTCTCTCACATACACACACACACACACACACACACACACACACACACACAAATGATGTAGTCAGTTTTAAAGCCACATATAGAGGCATGCCTTTCTTGCTTTGGCATAGCGTAGACAAAGTGTCTAGGCCATTTCTTTAGTCCAGAAACCCTGGTTTGTTTACACTTGCAATTGCCGTGGGCTAGACTAATCATGAAGTACGTTGGACATCCTACTTTAGACTCAGATGTGCCCTTTGAACTTTTCTTTCTGCCTTCATTATTCCAAAATTTTCCTACCTTATCATTTATATACATATTTTTCTTTCTGTAGTTTTGTTTCTTTTCTTTTGTTGTTTGTTTAAGATAGATTCCCACTCCATAGTCCAGGTTGGCCTGGGACTCATTAGGTAGAACAGATAAGCTTTGAACTCATGGAAATCCTCTTGACTTAAATCTCCTGCATATTACCATATTAGGCCTACATTTGTCTTTCTGGTGAATCTTACTTGTATAAAATTATCAGGTAGATTTGTTCCAAAACCAAAATTTAATTGTAATGTAACTTTCCTTAAGGAAGGACTTTCCCATCTTTTTGTCACACTATAGAGCAAAAGGCAATTCCTTGTGTGTCACCATCACAAACGGGTTGGTGATGACCATGCTGATGGTCTGCGCGTTCTCAGCACACAGATGTTGATACCTTCACCGAATGCCTTCTCCCAGATTGGATTTGCTGGATTCTTTATAAAATTTTGTTGCTAGAAACATCTTAGTTCCTGAAATCTTACTGAAATTAAGAATCCTCATTTTCTATCAATACAACATTGTCCCTAAAACAAACTTGTCCAAAAGTCTGTGAGCCACTGCACAAAGGTAAATTTTCTAGTACATTCAGCTTAAGGAAGGAAAAAGCAGATAAAATTAATTGTAATGACATAGGTTTCTTAAACAAAGCATCTAAAATGTTAATTTTACATAAACCAGTATGATGTTCTCAACAGTCTGCATGGTTCTGACTAGCTTTCAAAGTCATATGTATGCTTTAAGTGCAAGAACAAGTGTCTGCAAATTTACCTCATTTCACAAACCACATTGAGTATTGGATAGCACAGGGATAAAAGGAGATGAAGTAGTAAAAACTAATTCTGTTTCTCAGAGAAATGGAGCTTTTAAGTGCATGTCTGACTTTGTAATAACAGAATTGCTAGTGGACATCCATTTCTTTAACTCTCCTTTTCAACATTTCTGATATAACTTTAAAAAAATTGAATTCCAAACTTGTATACTAATCTATGTCACCAAAGAGGGGAGACGAAATGCTAAATGGAAAGTCAGCTTATATTACTAAAATTAGAATGCCTTATCTCTTTTTAATTGAAAGTATATATAGTTGAAGAATACACACACACACACACACACACACACACATATAAAGGAAAGGAAGAGGAACTGTGAGGAGTCAAACTATAATGTGTGAAAACTATTTTCAATAAAAAAGAAAATATATAAGGCAAATAAGAGTTGGAAATATGACTCAGTGATTAAGAGTACTGACTGCTCTTCCAGAGAACTTAGGTTAGGCACCCACATAGCAGCTCTTCACTGTCAACCATCCAGTTCCAGTAGATCTGATACTATCTTCCAGCCTCTGAGAGCACTGCATGTATATAGTACATATAGATATAACTATACATACAGGTACAGAAACACATACGCATACATATATATGGGAAGTAAAGACTCTGGCCATTCTGGTGTCTATAGAATCTGGGTATCTTTCTAAGGAAGTACTGAAGAAATGTTTTTACTCAGAACTTATCCATTCTATGTTAACACTCCCTAGGTCCTTGTCCACAAGACTGGCTCTGGCATAAAGAAAACTGTTACCTCTTCCATGGTCCCTTTAACTGGGAAAAAAGCCGGGAGAACTGCCTGTCTTTGGATGCCCAGTTACTACAAATCAATAGTGCAGATGATCTGGTGAGTTATTTGGGGTGAAGGTGATGGATTACGGGTTGGTAAAAGAAAAGGAAGGTTTAGGAGTTTGGAGGAGTGTCTTAGTCAGGTTTTTGTTCTTTTGTTGTTGTTGTTTGTTTGTTTGTTTGTTTGATTGTTTTGGTTTTGGTTTTGGTTTTTCTCTGTGAATAGATCCCATGACTGTGGCAACTCTTATAAAGGAAAGCATTTATTCTGGGGGGCTAGCTAACAGTTCAGAGTAGTCCCTTGTCAGCATGTGGAAAGCATGGCAGCATACAAGCAGACATGGTGCTGAAGAAGACCTGAGAGTTCTGTGTCTGGATATGCAGACAACAGGAAGAGAGTGACACTGAACTTGGCTTGAGCTTCTCAAACCTCAAAGCCCACCCCCAGTGACACACTTCCTCCAACAGGGCACACATCCAATTATGTCACTCCCCATGAGACTATGAGGGCTATTTTCATTCAAACCACCACAAAGAGGAACACTTGTTTGAGAGAGAAAATAACTGTTTTTCAACAGGATTGCATACTTGGTCTTGGGCATATAGGATGTGAAGTCTCCATAGACCCTTGTAACCATTTTTATTAAAGCACCAAGCGATGTTGAAGATCTTTTTGCTGTTTAGTTTGATGAATCTAAAATTCAGAGTGGTGTCTTTCCACAGACCTTCATCTTACAAGCAACTTCCCATTCCACCTCCCCATTCTGGATGGGATTGCATCGGAAGAAGCCCAACCACCCATGGCTATGGGAGAACGGCTCTCCTTTGAGCTTTCAATTGTAAGTCTACTTCTCCTCTTGGTGGCCATTTTGAGTGTTCTATTCCTGTCTCAACCTGCTTTGAAGTCCCTGTCACATTCCACCTATGACCTCTTCTTGGCAGAATGTAGAGTGGGAAATACACTAAATCACAAGAGGGTTTGTCATCTGTCCCTTCATACCTTGCTAGCATTTCCTTTCACATTACTGCTGATTTCAAGCTTTGAGACATGGTTGATTTCTAACATAAAAATGATATGTGTCCTGCTTTTTTTTTTTCCACCTGCAGCTTTAGGATCAGGGGCATTTCTTTACAGATGCAATCATCGGGCAGCTGTGCATACCTTCAACAGGGATCTGTGTTTGCTGAAAACTGCATTTTAAATGCATTCAGCATATGTCAGAAGAAGGCAAATCTACTGTGAATTCAATGAATCTAAAGATTCAGAGAAGAAGATAAGAAGACCTTTAACTGTTGTTCTGAAATTTAAGCTATACTTTCTTACCTGTGTGTAAAACATGAAGGCCTTGACAGCTGTCACTTACCTGCTAGCTGCATTCACCTCAAAAGAGATAAGGATCAGAAGCAAACACTGGGGGTGCAGCTGTTTGACATCTTTGTATCAAAAGTTGTGAGTTCAATTGTTTGTTCATATACACTGGCCTTGCCCCTCCCAAGCCTCCCAACCAACCTTCAATCCTTCTTCCCTTTCTTACTTTAAATGATGCCTCCTACCTGAACTGGGGGATGCTTTATACTCAGTCTCCTCTACCTCAGTATGCCTTGTTGCTGCATGAAAGAAAGAATGTAGAAAACCTTCTCAAGTGCAGGCAGAGGGCTCAAAGGCAAAGCATGCCTGAGAAGCAACGTGCAAAGAAACAGAACTAGAAAACCTACACTGTAAACAGAAACTCATGATCTCTAAAAAGTCTTGGCTTTATCTTTATTACTGGGGTCCATCTCTAGACTGTACCATTTATACATCTGTTTTTTTTATTTTATTTTACTGTATGTTTATGGATAGTTTGCCTATGTGTATCTCTGTGTACCACATGAGTGCCTGGTGCCACTGGAAGTCAGAAGAGGACATCAGATTCTTTGGAACTGGAATTGCAGATGGTTGAAAGCTGCTATGTACATGTGAAGAATAGAATTCATGTCCTCTGGAAGAACAGCCAGTACTCTTAACCATGAGCTATTTCTTCAGCTCCTATGATCATTTCTTGTATCAGTTATTTCTTCATTTTTTGCTCTACCAAAAAAACAGTGTTGTAACTTTAGCCCTTTAGAACAGTATTTGCTAAAGCTTTGAATATATGACCCCAAAACAAAACTAGAATTTTTTTCTTAAATTACATACTTTTAGTAGACAGCCTCTCCTTGACTCTGCCATGCTATGATTCAGAAACATATGTGACCAAAATGGACAAAACTCAGTTGAAGAACAAGTTCTTAGAATTGTCTGAGCTGGGTATAAAAATATTTTCTATTGGAACAGATGGATTTAGAAACTTCTATTATTGGGGCCTCCACTGTCACACACACTCACAGACTCTTCCACTTTGAAGGAAGCTTTCCATTATTCTAGGGAGATTTTATATATATATATATATATATATATATATATATATATATATATATAT